GCTTGTCCACATTAGCCTGTTGGCTTGCCTGTGTTTGTGCACAGCTTCCTTGTAAACAAACATGCATGGACTGCACATGTGTGTTTGGAATCCCCACTGCTTCCTTCCAAGCAATGGCCAAAAAGCTTTTGTGCTGTCTTGGCTTGGCCTATTGCATTTTGAGCCCAAGTGCACTCTGACACTTTTGAAGCTGCCATGGTAGAAGTTTCCCATGTTGTATGCATGAAGTTTGGTGATGGTAAGAAACTGCAGATACCCGATGCACTGGTGGTCAAGGAGCTGGTATGTTTGCCAAAACTAGTGCAAAACTAGTGTGCCAGCTCAAGGAACAAAGGCCAACCCTGTTCAGGACCCAGATGGTATGAATTACCTCAAGATCTCTTCTACAAACCAGATCATCAACAAGCTTATTTGTGGGTGCAGCAAGAGAAATGCATCTTTAAGTGGCAGTGCAAAGCTGCAAGAATTGAAGAATATGAGAAATTCACAGCTTGGCTTGGGACCTCATGGGGCAGGTTGCATTGATGATGCTGAGAATGAAGAGGAACAAGCTGGTGATTGCATTGGAGGGCAGAAGAAGAAGCACAAGGGGCAAAGCATCATTGTGAACATTTGTGTGGATGGCACTGACTGTTCCATCCTTTGCCCACCAAAAAGGGTTGCAAACAGCGACCTGGTTGTGAAGATTGACCCAGAGATGTTGAATGCAATATTTACATACATTCAGGAAGATTGCCAGAACAATTCCTCCAGCAGGTCTTACAGAAAGACCGGTTTGTTCAGGAAAGCAGGTGGCAAGGCCACCCAGGAAGGGTCAGAGTCAGAGGGCTAAAGGCCAATGTGGCTGCTGGCAGTGGAAAATGATGTCAAATCTAGCTTTTTAGCCCTTTGTAAAAGAATGTCTGGTTGCAGGGGTGGTTTCTTCACTTCAAGTATGTTGTTGATTTGTTTCTAGCACAGTGCACTGCTTTACAACTGCTCCTGCTGCTTCCGTTAGCATGGTGAGGACTGCAGTGCATCACAGCAAAACTAAGCACACATGTGTAACTCCAACTTCTTGTTCAGGCCAGGAACCTTTCACAAGGCACAGCAGCCCACACAAGAACTTTCACTTTTGCCACCCTTTGGTCACTCTAGCCATGGACTCTGCCTGCAAAGCAGAAGTGTCTAAGCTCTTCCATAGCAGCCTCCCTGTGAACCAGAAGCTGCAGCAGATCCTGACTTGTCTCTCCAAAGCTGGACTAGTGCATGAGACCATCTTGAAACCAGAAGATATATTAGTTCATGAGGCCAACCAACCGAGCTGGAGCTATGGTCAATGGCTTTGATGCTATAGCAAAAGGGCAGCACATTGAACAGACAGGCTTGAAACCACAATTGCTGCCCTTGGGTTCTGTGTGCATGGAAATGAACCCCAAAAAGAGAAGCCAGCGACTAGCAGCCAATGTGGCCATGTGTGAGAAGGCATCTGGTATGCTTGGGTCTGTCAATGGACAAGAAAAGTTCCTGAGCCTGGGCACTTCACATTTTGTGATGTATTGCAGAGCTTTACAACAGCATGCCACAGCACCAGATGGATCAAAGCTACAGCCTTTGCCTGAATTCTTGCCACTCTTGCAGGAAGGGTGGAAGTGGACCATTCTGTCCTACCAGATAGAGGATGAGTTTCCAACCTTCACCTCATCGTGTCAAGCTACATTGAACTCTGTGAACTCAGCTGCCAAAATGGTTGGTGAGGTGGAGTCAATGCTGCAAATTGCTGCATACTTGGAAGCAGGGTCAACCCTACAGGCAGCAGTGGATATGGTCAAGTCGACAGCACCTGCTTGTGCATCCTATTTGCAGCAAGTGGCAGATTTTGCAAGGCAGTTCTTGGGAGGCACAGGCTTCCCTTTGCTCAAGCAACTCAAGGACTACTGTTGCCAGGTTGCATCTATAGTTTCTTCTGGCCAAACAGGTTGGTACTGTGATTGTTTGCAACTTACTTGCGCATTAGCCAGCCCAGGCTTCAAACCATATTTTCCCTCACCCCACATATCCAGCATGCAACCTGTTGCAGTGGGCCCAGGTTTGAAATTTGGGCCTACCATTTTGGTAGGGGAGGACAACATGGCCTTGCTCGCCTACCATGACTTCAGAGTGCAAGGTGATCAGATGTTGTTCACCAGATTGGCCTTGCTCACAACCATGTTGACAACCACCAAGGTGTCAGATGGGGTATCCAAGCTTATAGTCAAATCTGACTTCGACAAAATGACCAGGTCCCTTCAAAAACAGGCTGTGCAGATGGAGCGCATACTCAGAGAGGCCTGGAGGCAAGAGGACCACCATGTCACCCCAGAGAGGAAGGCTTCTGCTTTTGGAAAGCTTTCAGTGAGGATGTGCTTGCTTTTGCTTGGCAAGCAGAAGTTTGGGAGGGACCCTGTGCTGGATAGCTTTGAAGAGATCACCAAGATGTATGGTGAGGACCTTGCAGGCACAAAGCCTGAGGTGTCCTTGAGCTCTTCCACCACTGCCAAGCCAAAATGTCAGCCAGTCAGGGACCTCCTCAATGCTTCTGCTCAAGAGGTTGCCCTGCTGCAGAATTCGCACCTTCACTTGGATGGAAGGCATCTTTGCTGGAAACAGTTTTGTTCAAGGTCATGACATGAAGTCTTTACATAAACACAAGCACCTGTTGAAGAATGTTTCACACCACACTGCAGCCACACATCCATCAGGTATCAGCACAAAGACTACCCAGAGATTGTCTTCACATTGGCTGAAGTGACAGATGGGCAGTGCAAGTTCCTCCACAAGCCATTGTTTGGTGAGGAGGTCAGTGTGCTAGTGGACTTTGCAGATGTGAAGACATGGAAGGCTACCAAAAGACAGGCTTCAACCTTGATTCCCAAAGATGTTGCAATGTCCAGGTTGGCCTGGAAAACACCAAGCTGGGTGGCTGAGCAAATGAAGACCTACACCCAACAGGTTGTGAATAAGACTTTCTTGGACAAGCTGCCTGAGGTGGAGCTCCAGTTCTCTTTGTTCCCATGTGCTGTGCACACTGCCACCAAAATCAAAAAGAATGACTTGCAACTCTACCCTGTGGGCACCATCCAGCCTGTCAAGGATTCTGAGTCGCACAAGCTCAGAGGCATCCCTGTTCAGTACAAAGGTGCCAAGTTCCAGATCATGCCACCCAGGGCTTTGTCTTCATTGGAGGAAGATGTTCCTGGCACATTGGTGCCCTTTCATTGCCTGAGCCAAACTGAAGATGAATCAGAAGTCAACATGCAGTTGAAGTGGATGACTGTGAAGGGGGTCTCCATCCCCAGCTTTATCAATTCAGCAAGCTTGGCAGCCAATGCTACTTTGTGCATTGTGAAGCAGCCATGGGAATTTCCTGGCTCGACTGCTTCTGTTTCCACTCCTGTCAAGAAGAGAAAGACAAACTGATGGGAGGTTCTTTTTTCATGCAATATGCCATTTTGGCACCAGCATACCATACCTGTCGAAAAGGTTTGCAAAAACATGTCATGCAAAAGCTGTGTACAGTGCCCAAAAGACTCATTAGCCACTTTGGCTTTGTTTTGTGTGTCAAGACATTCATTAGCCTGTGTGGCTTTGTTTTCTGTGAGGCAAGAAGCTCATTAGCCCTTTTTGGCTTTGTTTTGTTGTTTGCTGGTCAAACTGTTCATTAGCCTATGTGGCTTTATCTTCTGTGTTTCTTGTCTGTTGAAGGCTATCAAAAGCAAGCATTGTTGTCTTTCAGTGTCATCGCATTAGCTTGAAGGCTTTGGTGTGTGCACATCTGCTATTCTGTCTATACCTTCCCACAGAATTTCCACTTCATCAGGGACTGAGGCTCAAGTGTAGCCATGAAAAGGATTGCCACAGAGTGGCAACAAGAGCCTCCTAGCAAGAGATGGCATGGTAGCAGCTCTCAGGACTTGTGTTGATCCAAAATTCATATTTGTCAAGCTTTGTGCTTAGTCAATAGCTAGGTTTTTGAATGTGCGGTTAATCTACTGCAGACCAGGACTGGTATGAGCAGTGGGACACTGCAGGTGGCAATGATGACCAGCCTACATGGACTGGCTATGACAGTGAGCAGGCTGCCTGGGATGCCTGGGATGACTGGGGTGAGCCTCAA